AGGTTTATACCCCTTAACGCCCCCAAGTCCTCTGTATCATGACCTAACGAGGTTTATACCCCTTAACGCCCCCAAGTCCTTTGTATCATGTCATAATAAGGTTTATACCTCTTAATGCCCCAAGTCCCCTGTATCATGTCCTAATGAGGTGTATACCCCTTAACGCCCCAAAGTCCTTTGTATCATGTCATAATAAGGTTTATCCCCCTTAACGCCCTCAAGTCCTCTGTATCATGTCCTTATGAGGTGTATACCCTTTAACGCCCCAAAGTCCTTTGTATCATGTCATAATAAGGTTTATACCCCTTAACGCCCTCAAGTCCTCTGTATCATGTCCTAATGAGGTGTATACCCCTGAACGCCCCAAAGTCCTTTGTATCATGTCATAATAAGGTTTATACCCCTGAACGCCCTCAAGTCCTCTGTATCATGTCCTAATGAGGTGTATGCCCCTGAACGCCCCAAAGTCCTTTGTATCATGTCATAATAAGGTTTACCTTAACGCCCCCAAGTCCTCTGTATCATGCCCTAATGATGTTTATACCCCTTAACGCCCCCAAGTCCTCTGTATCATGCCCTAATGATGTTTATACCCCTTAACGCCCCCAACTCCTCTGTATCATGCCCTAATGAGGGTTATACCCCTTAACGCCCCTAAGTCCTCTGTATCATGTCCTAATGAGGTGTATACCCCTTAACGCCCCCAAGTCATCTGTATCATGTTCTAATGAGGTTTATACCCCTTAACGCCCCCAAGTCCTCTGTATCATGTCCTAATGATGTGTATACACCTTAACGCCCCCAAGTCATCTGTATCATGTTCTAATGAGGTTTATACCCCTTAACGCCCCAAGTCCTCTGTATCATGACATAATAAGGTTTATACCCCTTAACGCCACCAAGTCCTCTGTATCATGTCATAATAAGGTTTATACCCCTTAACGCCCCAATTCCTCTGTATCATGACCTAATGAGGTGTATACACCTTAACGCCCCCAGGTCATCTGTATCATGTTCTAATGAGGTTTATACCCCTTAACGCCCCAATTCCTCTGTATCATGACCTAATGAGGTTTATACCCCTTAACGCCACCAAGTCCTCTGTATTATGATCTAATGAGGTGTATACCCCTTAACGCCCCCAAGTCCTCTGTATCATGTCCTAATGAGGTTTATACCCCTTAACGCCCCCAAGTCCTCTGTATCATGACCTTATGAGGTTTATACCCCTTAACGCCCCCAAGTCCTCTGTAGCATGTCCTAATGAGGTTTATACCCATTAACGCCACCAAGTCCTCTGTATCATGTCCTAATGAGGTTTATACCCCTTAACGCCCCAAAGTCTTCTGTATCATGACCTAATGAGGTGTATACCACTTAACTCCACCAAGTCCTCTGTATCATGACCTTATGAGGTTTATACCCCTTAACGCCCCAAAGTCTTCTGTATCATGACCTAATGATGTGTATACCCCTTAACGCCCCCAAGTCCTCTCTATCATGACCTAATAAGGTGTATACCCCTTAACGCCCCCAAATCCTCTGTATCATGACCTAATGAGGCGTATACCCCTTAACGCCCCCAAGTCCTCGGTATCATGACCTAATGAGGTTTATACCCCTTAACGTGTATCATGTCATAATAAGGTTTATACCCCTTAACGCCCTCAAGTCCTCTGTATCATGACCTTATGGGGTTTAGACCCCTTAACGCCCCCAAGTCCTCTGTATCATGACTTAATGAGGTGTATACCCCTTAACGCCCCAAGTCCTCTGTATCATGTCCTAATGAGGTTTATACCCCTTAACGCCCCAAAGTCTTCTGTATCATGACCTAATGAGGTTTAGACCCCTTAACGCCCCCAAGTCCTCTGTCGCATGTCCTAATGAGGTTTATACCCAGTAACGCCCCCAAGTCCTCTGTATCATATACCCCTTAACGCCCCAAGTCCTCTGTATCATGTCATAATGAGGTTTATACCCCTTAACGCCCCCAAGTCCTCTGTATCATGACCTAATGAGGTGTATAACCCTTAACGCCCCCAAGATCCCTGTATCATGTCCTAATGATGTTTATACCCCTTAACGCCCCCAAGTCCTCTGTATCATATACCCCTTAACGCCCCAAGTCCTCTGTATCATGTCATAATAAGGTTTATACCCCTTAACGCCACCAAGTCCTCTGTATCATGACCTTATGAGGTTTATACCCCTTAACGCCCCCAAGTCCTCTGTATCATGTCCTAATGAGGTTTATACCCCTTAGCGTTAACAGAACAGGATTCAAAACCTGAGTTATGTGTAAAGATGTGCCCTTAGTAACGGTGTTATGCTAATGATAGAAAAAGACTACAAATACTGTCAACATTCGTTAACAACCGATTTGGTTTGTATTCAATAACAACCAAGGCTATTTAAGGACGTGTGTTAGGTATTCGTGTTTGTGTGCAGGGGGCAGTGTTATCGTGTGTTTGCCTCCATTCTTCAGTGCGGCTGGGTGCCTTTGGATTGGTACATGTATTTCAGTGAGAAAGTACTAGAAAAAAATACTTACATCTCAAATGAGCGGCCGTAGCCAATACTGTTGCTAGGGCTTTAGACAACACTGTTGCTATGGCTTTAGACAACACTATTGCTAGGGCTTTAGACAATACTGTTTAATAGTTAACATTAGGTTACATTGGCACGTTGCTAAAAACGTGGTTATTTACGCCATATTTGATGTTTTTTTAAAGCACATCGTTCAGAAAAAGTTCTTAGTATCTTGAAAATCAATGGCATCCGTGTTGTATCTGTCCCTCCCCCCACCCCCCGGGTTTATTTAGGACATTCTATCTGCCTGTATATATGTCTTTTTTAATTTGTTGTTCATTAAAACGTCAATTAATCAAGTAATTTCTTATTGTTTTTATTTTATAACATTACTGGCCAATGAACGTTAATTAGTTTAAACATATTTTATTACAATATAATTACAAAAGGATTGGACACAAGTTATTGCAACTTATACACGCCCTTTCCATAATGGTTTACAACATATAAATATAACGCAATTTCTAATAATACATAAATTAATTTACAACAAATACATACTTGAGAGAGAGAGAGAAATGGAGAGAGAGAGAGAGAGAGAGATAGAGAGAGAGAGAGAGAGAGATTTTAGTCCGACTCATTTCATGATTAAAACTATAGATTAAGATAACAAACCTATAACAACGTTATATAACAAACGTATCAAGCTTATAACAATGTTGACCCAGTTGGACTATAACGTCAATTTGTAATGCGTTGACAAAACAATATTACAGGAGAACATCACACACACACACACACAATGTACAAATATCTACCAGAGTTGTCGTTCTTAACACTATCGACGAAACAATCGCGGACAATCCATCTCTGTGTAATAAGCGTAACTTACCCCCGCGCGTAATATTCCACGATTACGGTATTCTCGTAATGTTTCGATGAAGTAACGGTGAACATAAAGGTTTTTGAAGGCAAATAAAAGATATGTGTTACCTATTGAACATGACATTGTATGTTTGGGTTCTTCTTGTTTCACTGAACACTATTATGCGCGTTTTGCAGGTCTCTCTGAGGTACGCCAACCAGCACCTGTGTGGCGGGACTCTGATCGACTCCCAGTGGGTTCTCACCGCAGCGCACTGTTTTGAAGAGTAAGGCGTATATAAATAGCATTACATATAGTGTAATGTGACTTAACCGATTACGTAATCAGAATACCTTTACTTAGCAGGCATCTAATTATATTTTCAATTATCACTTGTGTTTCATGAACCTACTTTTTGAGCTACTGTCAAATAGAAACACTTCTATTATTATTGGTGAGCGGGTTAGGCTATATATAGTAGAAAGGACGGGGTTTGATTCCCGGATTCCAGTTAAAAGATACAATGGTCTCCTAACCGATGACGCTGGTACTCTCCAGGTACTCCGGTTTCACCCTATTTTGATACTCTGCTCGCCTCTATCTTGGATAATTTGTTTCATGGTTGTTCTAAAACAATCAAAGTGAATTATCCCCATACTTAATGTATGCTGTCGGTTATATTATGTCAAAGTAGAACCTCAACAAATCTAAAAATAAACGGTTTCTTCCCTTTTTTACAATTGCCGTAACATTTCTGCAAAGGAAAACCAAACCTGTTTTTACCTCCCATTTGAAGAGGAGCATTAGCAATTGTATAACTTGCTCTCGGGTAAAGATTAAAGCGACGTTCGAGTTTTACAAAGCTGTAAATATTAGGAACCTGGATTTTCATTTTTTAGGAGAAAGTCCTAGTTCACTTCAATTGTAACGAAAAAAGTATTTCTTACAACAAATTTAAGACTTTTTTTACATTTTTAATTCATCCAAATGTTGGATCGAAAATTAGCAAGATATACAATGGTATATAAACAATATCAGGTTGTAATACTTTGGAACTCTGATACATTAATGTACGTGAGAAGGGAGACAACCGCTCGATAATGAAATACATGTCATGTGTTCACAAATTGTCTTTACGAAAATTAAAAAAACAATGTTGTATGTTATTAAGATATACCATCATATTTAACACAATCATCAAATCTACGTATTACTGTAGGTTATTTTAAGAGCAATACGTTAATATAAACAGATAAGTACAGTCCATGATAAGCTGGGCTGCCACTTGTATTGGGACAGTGAAACTTATGGTGCCTGATTACGGTCATCTCGTGTTGAACACGCTAATTATATTAGCGTATACAGAATTTCGTGCTATCGCGGTAAAATGTCGTGTTGGAAATGCCGTGTTGGCGTGTTGTCGCCTCGTGCCCTTGTCGTGTTGTCGCCTTGTCGCGGTTTGAAAACGCAACAAGACGACATTGTATCTGTTAAATATCGGGTTGTCGCAGTTTGTGACCGCGACAAAGCGACAAGACGTCATCACGACAAGGCGACAACACGAGATGACCGTAATCAGCCACCGTAATCATTAGCTTGTATCTGCATTAGTCTTTTGGAAAGAAAATTATGATGCTCTAGCTTCCCCAATTTAAACCAGATCCACAAGGGAAATTCATTTGTATAATACGAACTGTATATTGTAACCTACAGATAATCAGCCTTTCCATCCATTCATCTTTACTGGTTCGTTCACTCGGAACTTACGGTTTAAAGGAAATGTAACATTAGAAACTCGAGTGCGAAAGGAAAACAACACATTTTGTTTTGAATGTATGTTATAGATGATACTCAATCAGATAAGTTGTAACCACCAATACAGAATTTACCTGGCTGTTTGTCTTGTGCTACACGTTACAGAATAAAATAAACGTTTTCATTTGTTTCCCCTGTAGATACAGTAATAACGTAAACAGTTTCTCTCGTAGAGCCCGTAGTTTTGTATTTCTATGCGGTATATTTTTACCAAATAATTAACATGGTGTTTTACGATACAGTTGTTCATTTTCGTACACTTAACATATGATCTAAATAAAGTAAAATAAACTTTATATATTTTACAAAAAATATGAAACACGTTACTGCAACTTATATTAATCACTCTTGCTGATCCGGATGTTAGCGTACTTGCGTGGTCTGAACGTGTGAGGAAACCGGAGTACCCGGAGAAAACCTACGTGGTCGTGCAGGTGACCCCATACCTCCGATCGGGGAATCGAACCCAGGCCACCTCGGTGAAAAGCAAGTGCGCTATCCACTGCGCCACCCGACCACCGTTAAGTACGTAGAAGCATGAGTTATATTTGTTGCGGTGAATGAAAAAAATAAATAGAGTATTATTTTTTTCTGTAGCACGAACCACCACGGTTGGACTGTCGGGGTCGGCTTACATGACCAGCATCACGTGCACTCCTCAAACATCCATCACGTGTCAAAGGTGGTCGTCCATTCGCATTATAATTCGCATAACAACCACAACGACATCGCCCTGATGAAGCTCTCCTCACCCATCGATCTATCTGGCAATTATGCAAAAGCGGCATGTTTACCAAGCAGTAACGAGAATTTCGAGCACAACACGTGCACTGTCACCGGTTGGGGCGTCACCCATTACGGTTTGTGAATTTAATTGATGTTACTATCCGTAATTTCTCTAGTTCTCTAACATAATTGAGCATAGACTGTGAGTAAATATATTGTTTCATGCGGGTTTTTTTCGGGGGGTTTAAACATTAGTATATTCGTGAAAGTCGAAATTCCTTTTATTGAGTTGGTTTGTTCATTATTATGACCAGACAACACGACACGAATTTTTTTTAGTAATATTTTCGTATTTGCAAAAAAAACAAATGTTACCTGCAATATCTCGAAGACAAATTATCTTGTTTTGAGTACGTTTTAACTAAAGTTACTGTTTCATATTCGCCATCATTTAGAAAACAAAAACCTGCATGATATATTTTATCATCTTTGTGTGTATTATGCCTATACAACATTTAATGAATCGCCTAAATATTCGATAGTTTGTTTATACAGATGAACATGGTAACGCACCTTTGACTCGGTACCTGATGAAGGTTGATGTGCCGGTGTTGACCAATGCTCAGTGTCAATACGACCTCGGACGGCACGCCATCTACACCGGAAACATCTGCGCTGGCTTCAGTCAGGGTGGCAGAGACGCTTGTCAGGTAATACGATAATAACCGTAACATATGTTGTGGATAAGGCATGTTTGTGTTACATGTACTCTAGGGTAAATTCAGTACTCAGCTTCAAAGCACGTTATAACAGACATAATCATCTGCTAAACGTTTAATTCATTGGACTGTTACGATATATCATGCGAGGAAATATCGCGTTATTTTAAGTAAGGTACGTTACACAATGTTTTTGGGATGTCACGATACACCGACTATATTTTGGGATTTCTTTTTCGTTTTTGATTTTTTTTCTACTCTTATCCGTTTCCACATGGCGGGTGACAGCTCCAGCCAGGCATGCTTGTCGAACAACATGAAGTTTGTTAAGCATTTTTAGTTGACAAAGTATATTTCCAGTTGTAATATTGCTATTAAAAATTGCAACATGTCTTTTCGCTTTGCTTCTACTGTTGCTATATGTATCGTGATATATATCGTATCGTGACCACAGTATCATGATACGTATTGTATCGACATCGTATCGTATCGTATCGTTGCAGCCCCATAAGTTATCGCTCTAACCCGTTCATATAAAACTCAAGATGCTCATTAAGACCGACTTTAACATGGTTCTTTGGTGGTGGAAATAAGTTACTCGTCTGAAAGGCTGTACCCCAAAAAGATGTTAATTTAAATGTTTAATAACACACTATGTAGTAATAATTATAATAGCATCACTGTGTTCTTAAAAAGAGACAACTAATACTAATCACAAGGTATTATGAAGTAAGTACATTATTTGAAAAAAAGGCCAAGTAAGATACTGAGGTCAAATTATGACGTGAACACTGTGTTGAAGACTCAATACAAAAAAACCCGAAATATACTTATAATAGACAGTAGTCTCTTTTGCATCACGCTTTGTAACATGTAACATGATCAACGACTTTTATCTTTATTAGGGTGACTCCGGCGGTCCGATGGTATGCAAACATAACGGGGTATACAAGTTGGCAGGCGTGGTATCCTGGGGTTACGGTTGCGGTGATGCTCATACACCAGGTGTATACACTCGGGTATCCTCTTTCCTGTCCTGGATAGCCCAACACAAACACTAGGTTGTTACTTGTCGTTATCACCGTTGTTTATAGCATTAAAATCGTTGACTAAATATATATATAACATTATTCTGTTGCGTCTTTGTTAAAACATACACATACATCAGGTAATAATTTCGAACCGAGTATCCGAATCGACCATCCGATGGTCTCACTGACAATTAAAACGGTATAACGACATATAATGTTACCAGTAAGTATTGTGACATGTCTATAACAGATAAGTTGAAAACCAAGGGAATTGAAGTCAACTAAAGAATTTGAAGTAACCCCTTGCAACGAAATAAAGGGGTGTGATGAATGTACATAGCATATTATTCAGGTTAGATACGTTGATCTGTTGGCGTTAATCATTTGTGTTATGTCTCCGTAATTCAAACGCTTAGAAGACAGATAGTTTTAGAGGTACAATTAAAACGCACAGGTGATTATACCTCACTCATCGCTAGGTGTCGCTAAGATAGGAAGAGGGTATTAATAGGCAGAATTCAGCAACAATCGGTCCAGTTATGTTCTGATCTCAGCGTGTATACAGCAGTGTCAGACTGTAAGTACCTAATATATGCGAGACCGGTTTTGTGTTGGAAAGATAGAAGTGACTGAATAAGTCTTCCCTTGATCCACACACTGCCTGGAAGATATATTAAATAAACGATTGAGTGCTGTAGCGAGATACTGTTAGACAGAAGATGTCGCGGGCATAGGCTATGCAGTGCTAGTCGTGACTAGGTATAGTTGTTAGGGCTAGTCGGGACTAGGGGTAGTCGTGGTTATCGGAGAGCGCCGTAGTATAGTATATTAGTATATATAAATTGTTTATAAGATGTTAAAGCTTATAAAACCAAAACCATACATATCATGGCAAGAAGTATCATAAAAGTTTTCTAGATAAAAAAAATGGTTATCTATTTCATGGTTTTCCGTGTTTATGTGAACGACAGTCCATGGCTGTAAATTCCTAACTAAAACGTATCAAAAATATTAAGTATTTGAACATCTATGAAACATCACATACAAATAAAAAAAAAATAATCTCAATGATTATAATCTATTATTTAAGGATCTTCGTTTGATTGTTTGTCTTGGGCTTAACGTTATTGCAACAGCCAGGGTCGTACTGATGCCTAGGGAGACACCTTTGGAAAGAGAAGTAAATAAAAAAGAAATAAGACAGGATAGATAGGAAAAAAACATTATTGACCCACATTCAAGGTCACACAGGTCAAATAAGTTTAAAACTCCAAACGATATCTTCTGAAGAACAAACAAGCCTAGAGTCAGGATATAAGGCTGGTAGATTCCTTGGATGGAGATAAACATTAAGTTTGCTAGTTAAATGACCTCGACCAAATTACAGGGTCATAATGGTGAACTTTCTCTTTAGCTTAACATGGCTGTTGACGTTTACATATGTACGTGTATGTATCACTACGCTCACGATAATGACTGTCGTTATCGATTAATGACGACAATGACCTCAACAAAGGTCATTGAGTCAATTACACTTGAAACTGTAAACATATTGGTATATACCCATGCACCCGAAGGAAGACAAAACACTTTCTCTTAATTGCTAATACCACACGTCAATCATGAATCCAATAGTAAGCACTCGAGGAAACGGAATGACTGAATGGCGTGCATGCCATTATGGTGATGATACGATAATATAATGTGTATTGATGCATCACACTGTATGCTACTTTTTGTGACAATTTTGATTTTATCTTATGATCGCATTGGTTCCAAGGTCCATTATTTTTCTATAAGCATCTGTTTGTCTCAAACATGAATACTACATAAGAATAATAAAATGTTGCCTTTGAATTGGTTATTTCTATTGTTTATTGTCTGATTCCTGATCCCTGAATGCATGTACATTCCTGAGGCACTTATAGCCTGCAAAACATTTAACATGATCCTATGATCTTCATTGAAGTCCGAAAAATGTAAAGAAGATGGGGGTTAGATTGGAAAATATTTGGAATGCATCCTAACATCCGCCCAGGATTAATGAATTATCTGCAAGTTACCGACGTTGGTAAATTATTTCTAATTTCTAAAAAAATGCAAAATGTATTTATACCATGTATGTATATTATATTGGTCAACTTCTGACAATCCATGGCAATGCCAGCAATGGTAAAGCGACAATCCACGGCAATGTCAGCAATGGTAAAATGACAATCCACGGCAATGTCAGCAATGGTAAAGCGACAATCCATGGCAATGTCAGCAATGATAAAGCGACAATCCACGGCAATGTCAGCAATGGTAAATCGACAATCCACGGCAATGTCAGCAATGGTAAAGCGACAATCCATGGCAATGTCAGCAATGATAAAGCGACAATCCACGCCAATGCCAGCAATAATAAAGCGACAATCCACGGCAATGTCAGCAAGGGTAAAGCGACAATCCATGGCAATGTCAGCAATAATAAAGCGACAATCCACGGCATTGCCAGCAATGATAAAGCGACAATCCACGGCAATGCCAGCAATGATAAAACGACAATCCACGGCAATGCCAGCAATGATAAAGCGATCATCAACGGCAAAGTCAGCAATGGTAAAGCGACAATCCATGGCAATGCCAGCAATGATAAAGCGACAATCCACGCCAATGCCAGCAATGGTAAAGCGACAATCCAAGGCAATGTCAGCAATGACAAAGCGACAATCCATGGCAATGCCAGCAATGGTAAATCGACAATTCATGGCAATGTCAGCAATAGTAAAACGACAATCCATGGCAATGCCAGCAATGATAAAGCGACAATCCACGCCAATGCCAGCATTGGTAAAGCGACAATCCACGGCAATGTCAGCAATGGTAAAGCAACAATCCATGGCAATGCCAGCAATGGTAAATAGACAATCCATGGCAATGCCAGCAATGGTAAATCGACAATCCACGGCAAATTCAGCAATGGAAAAGCGATAATCCATGGCAATGCCAGCAATGATAAAGCGACAATCCACGGCAATGCCAGCAATGATAAAGCGATCATCCACGCCAATGTCAGCAATGGTAAAGCGACAATCCATGACAATGCCAGCAATGATAAATCGACAATCCACGGCAATGCCATCAATGATAAAGCGATCATCCACGGCAATGTCAGCAATGGTAAAGCGACAATCCATGGCAATGCCAGCAATGATAAAACAACAATCCACGGCAATGCCAGCAATGATAAAGCGATCATCCGCGGCAATGTCAGCAATGGTAAAGCGACAATCCATGGCAATGAAAGCAATGATAAAGCGACAATCCACGCCAATGCCAGCAATGATAAAGTGACAATCCACGCCAATGCCAGCAATGGTAAAGCGACAATCCATGACATTGTCAGCAATGGTAAATCGACAATCCACGGCAATGTCAGCAATGGTAAAGCGACAATCCATTGCAATGCCAGCAATGATAAAGCGACAATCCACGGCAATGCCAGCAATGGTAAAGCGACACTCCATAGCAATGTCAGCAATGGTAAAGCGACAATCCACGGCAATGTCAGCAATGGTTAAGCGATCATCCGCGGCAATGTCAGCAATGGTAAAGCGACAATCCATGGCAATGAAAGCAATGATAAAGCGACAATCCACGCCAATGCCAGCAATGATAAAGTGACAATCCACGCCAATGCAAGCAATGGTAAAGCGACAATCCATGACATGGTCAGCAATGGTAAATTGACAATCCACGGCAATGTCAGCAATGGTAAAGCGACAATCCATTGCAATGCCAGCAATGATAAAGCGACAATCCACGGCCATGCCAGCAATGATAAAGCGACAATCCACGGCAATGCCAGCAATGGTAAAGCGACACTCCATGGCAATGTCAGCAATGGTAAAGCGACAATCAATGGCAATGTCAGCAATGATAAAGTGACAATCCATGGCAATGTCAGCAATGGTAAAGCGACAATCCACGGCAATGCCAGCAATGGTCCCCCGACAATCCACGGCAATGTCAGTAATGGTAAAGCGATAATCCACGGCAATGCCAGCAATGGTAAAGCGACAATTCACGGCAATGTCAGCAATGGTAAAGCGACAATCCACGGCAATGTCAGCAATGGCAAAGCGACAATCCACGGCAATGCCAGCAATGGTAAAGCGACAATCCACGGCAATGTCAGTAATGGTAAAGCGATAATCCACGGCAATGCCAGCAATGGTAAAGCGACAATCCAAGGCAATGTCAGCAATGGTAAAGCGACAATCCACGGCAATGCCAGCAATGATAAAGCGACAATCCACGCCAATGCCAGCAATGGTAAAGCGACAATTCACGGCAATGTCAGCAATGGTAAAGCGAAAATCCATGGCAATGTCAGCAATGATAAAGCGACAATCCATGGCAACATACATGTCAGTAAAGAATTAACAAATACATCCACGCCAATGCCAGCAATGGTAAAGCGACAGTCAACGGCAATGTCAGTAATGGTAAAGCGACAATCCATGGCAATGTCAGCAATGATAAAGCGACAATCCATGGCAACATACATGTCAGTAAAGAATTAACAAATACATATCTCCTTTTTGTTGAAAACTCAATTATATAATTATAACATTTAAGTGTTTCGTAGTGTCGTTACCAATTGAGAATTATAAATGATCACAATGTATTTTCAGAGTTTGTTTTCATCGCAAGCAAGTGGACTCGATATTTTATCTACGCGCCGAGGGTTTTACCAAATTTGAAAATCCCGAGGGTGTAATTTCCCTAACCTACACCCTTGGGCATGAAAGAGTATTTTTCTCTCATTCCAATCACCATAATAAGCTCAGAAACCACGAAAATGCAATAAAACTGGCCAATATTTTGAAAATATAAAAATATTTCCTATGTTCATATCTTACCGTAGTTTTATCGATTTTGTGTTGTTATTAGGGTTTTGTTGACAGTTAAAGTGAAATGTTACATCAGTGTTATATTTTCTCGAGTCATGTTTCCGAAACTAAGTACATGTATTACATATATATCAACCATGAGCTATTTCGTCTTTTTCATCAAAATGTTTTGATATATTCAATAATGGTTTAGCTGTTCAAACCGCGTTCGTCCGTGGTCCGTACTTCATCCCTTCAGAAATGTTTTTAAGCACGTTTTCTCAAAATAGTGCCTGAAGGATCTCTCACAAATTGCAAATGTAGGGTTCCCATTTCACTCCTGACTGATCGGAAAACCAGACAGCAATCTTGAAATGTAGACCGTGTTAGCGTTATATCTCAGAAAGTACTGGAGGTATCGTATTTCACAAGCATGTTCTCCATGATTCTTTGTGATGCATTTTGAATTTACTGACGGATCAGAGAACCAAGATTGGCTGTCTTGAATATTAAGAGTTATTTTTTTAGTGGTATTTCTCAGAATGTAACGGAGGGATCTGTCTCAAATTTCACTTATGTATCCTCAATTGTCCGTATTTTTGCATATTCAATATGATAATTTATTGTAAAACCAAGACGGCTGACAGGCAATGCTATTTAACGGAAGGAATCGATCTTAATATCACAAGAATGTTCCCCTTGGTTGGACATTTAATATGGGGACTAATTGGAAAAAAAACAAGATGGGCATCAGGCAGCCTTTTGGAATTTTGATAGTTCATATTTTTTGCGAGGATGTTAAACCACAATAACTGATATGCTGAAAGAAATTGCTTCACTGCTCGAAAATAACATAATTCCAATGGATATTGTATAGACCGACTCACGAAGGTAACAATGCTGAGTGTACAATCCCAGCCACAACACTTATATAAGTGCACCTAGACTTGTTTGTGCTATGTACAGATAAGCTCGTTAAATTGTAACTGTTCATGCTTATGTGTCTGGGGGGGTGTAAGAGTAAATCACTGCGTCCAAAGCGATAAAGGGAATACAAAATAACAATTACGTTGTACCTCACAGTGGTAGGCACGGCAGATAAGTGGTAAGATGCCAGGCTAGTGACCGAAGGGGTGCGGGTTCGAGTCTTGGCACGGCATTTTCTTGTATCTTTGAGCAAGATACTTTAGTATAAACCGTATTTCATTTCGTAAAGTTGCAGTTACAATATACAGACCATTTAATTATTACATACATGAAATAAGATCCAAAAACAAGTTCCTAAACTTATATCAATATGGTTCCTTAGCAGAAATACTAATGGATAACAGAGACTTGAAGTAAAAGAAAGAGGAGAAGAAATAGGAAGAGAAGAAAGAATAGCATTTGCCAATGTACCAAACGTTAACCTATGTAAATGTAACTGATATGATAACGTATTTATAACAGTGGACCATTGATGCGGGGTACTACTACAAAGATGATACGAAAATACCAATAGCATATATATGGCACAACTGATATGGGCGCGCGCACAACCACACACCCTCACACACGCACACACAAAACCCGAGGTGTATACATGTATGAGTGACACATTGGGTGTATGAATAAAATAGATAACACACGTTTTGAGTTAATAATAACATTTTGTACACAGTTAAATATATTTCGATTTTGGGCAGGTGAAATATTGTTGTCACCAAACAGGAGGGTTGATACTTTACTTTGCTTGTTCTAGTCTACTCAGCTGTAAATGGGTAGGTGATTGGGTAGTTCTAGGATTGTAGAATGCTAGCTGTGAGCGCCGAAATGGCAGCAACATCTGTATGCTCCCCAAGGAGTTGAGAAAGACATTGGCTGGTTGCAAAGGCCCTATAACAACGGAAGATAATTTGTGAACCGCTTTGAGACGACGTACGAAATGGGTTGTAATACAACGGTATATAAGAACCTGGAATATTATTAAAGTGTTGCAAAAAGCATAACACGCATTCATGCATGATCGCGCGTGGGTTTGTGCGAGTTCGTGTTTCAAAGGGAGGTAAGGGGATGGAAAATATCTCGATTTGGTGTTATACCTCGCTTCATTACTAAGCTGTTTTCCTCACAACGCACCTCGAAACAAGTAAAGTATTCATGCATGCTCGTGTGTGCGCGTGCGTATGTGTGTTTATTCCTAGTCATCATGTTCTGCAGCGACCATTTTTTTCACGGAACAACAAAAAAAAACACCCTCTTTAAACTAATCTTCAAAGGTATTGTTGTTTGTATGTAAATTTAGTATTGCATGTACATGTTAACAAAAACATAATTGTACACCATTTTGATTTTATTTTTGCTATATAATCGCGTATATCGAGTAAGCCCGGCGAACCATATCCGAGCTTAGTGCGCATTCTTTGTTGTTTGAATCCAGCTAAGGAAGGATGATACCCGCGTGTAGACTCCGGGAGCGTTCCTCTGAGCACAGCCGTATCCCCATGACGTAATACCGGCCAATTTCCAAACTCCGTTCTTTTTACAGGTCAATGGGCCACCGGAATCTCCCTGCAAAATACAGAAAAAAATAATCTAGCACTTTCTAAAACGTGTGTTTGCTTAGTTTAGTTTCACGTCCTCGAGACAAACAAGAATATACATGTATGAAGAGACTTTGCCGAAAATAAAACGTGAGTTTGGGGAAGATATACACTGTAGATCCCAAGTATTCCAATAGGCTAAGTAGATCGTTTTCGGTTTCCTCAATTTTCCCAAAACAGAGGACACAGTTAATAACCCCGGTTTCTGCAAAGGGTTCAACATAAGTCGGCTCATACAATAACTTGCAAGGAGATCTAGCAAGCATACTCTTTACCCGAACATGAAGGTGTTGTCTCATTGATACTGTGTCATGATAAATGTCTGTTAAAAATGAATAGCGATAAGTATTGAGATGCATCAGACTACAAACTCCCGCCGATTCGGGAGAATGAAGAGGCTGAACAGGCTATTCCGTCTTTGCGTAATGCAGAGTTATCTTCTCTTGTGAGCAGGTATTGATTGTTACGTCATTGGTTTGTGTGAGCAAATTACGTCGTTTTCTCAACAATTGATGACGTTACTCTCACAAACCAATGACGTAACCAGCAATACCTGCTCACAGGAGCAGATAACTCTGCAAGACGAAAAGACGGAAATTATATACATCCCGATATATACCTTCCGTGTCATATGCTTGGAGAACGTAACATTAACAACCCAATAAGAACATTGTGAATCTATATTTTTTCTGTTCTTCCTTTCTTCTTACTCTTTTTCACCGGTGTCTCCCTATGTACCCGTCTTCATAATAATAATAATAATAATAATAATAATAATTCGAGGTTCTTATATTCCGTCTATTCGTATTGCAAAGTTATCTGCTCTTGTGAGCAGGTATTGATTGTTACGCCATTAGTTTGTGTGAGAATATTACGGCGTTTTCTCAAAAAAATATGACGTTACTCTCACAAACAAATGACGTAACAATCAATACCTGCTCACAAGAGCAATTAACTCTGCAATACAAAAAGACGGAATACCGCTTTATCACAACCAAGTTCGTAGGTCGTCTTAAAGCGGTTCACAAATTATTATCCTAATTATCAGCAGTAACAGCTAGCATTCTACAATTCTAGCACTGCCCAACCACGTACTCATTCACAGTTTAGTAGATATCTTCCTCAAAGATACAACAGAGTGCCGTGCCGAGACTCGAACCCGCAACCTTTCGGTCACGAGCCCGGCGTCCCACCACTAGACTTCCGTGCCTTCATATGACCTAACTGTTGTAAGTGCGTAAAACAGATACAGCAACTGCATTGCATACTGTCAATTTCTTTATTTACTCTTCTGCTTTTGCCCTTGATAATGATATCATGGATTAAATACCGTTATGTGATGATTATTTTTATGAAAAAAAACGTAAACGTAATATTTCAGACAATATCTGTATAACATGTGTGACAGAAGCTACATGTATATTTGTTTACTGTACCGTGTTTCGAATCGCATACCTGACAAGCGTCCTTTCCACCTTGACTATAGCCAGCACAAAGGTTAGATGTGTAAATAGAATTTCCCATGTAATAATTACACCTGCTGTTGGGAATGATAGGAACGTCGACCTCCTCCAGATAACGAGAGCCTTGTCCACCTAAACACAGAACACAACATCAGTAAGTGAAGCGTTGACGTGCCTTGTATTCTTGCGATAATTTAATGTTCGCGTGAATTCGTCACGAGACCAGGCTGCTACATGAGGTTTTCACGAAGACTAATTTCACAGGTATTTACTTACCATTTTTAAAAATAGAATTATTTCATTCGCGAATTCAAGTATTCGGGAATAAAGCGAGAAGTTAATTTTCGTGTGAATGTGTTACGAGACTAGGCTGTTATATGAGGTTTACAGCGAGCACTAGTTCCATATATATTTACTGATCATTATAAGAATAGAACTATTTCAATCGCGAATTCAAGTATTCCGGAATAAAGCGAGACGTTAATTTTCGTGTGAATGTGTTACGAGACCAGACTTTTATATGAGGTTTACAGCGAGACTAATTCAATAGATATCTACTTATCATTATTAAAATATAATTATTCCAATCGTGAATTTAAGTATTCCGTAAAAAAACCCAAAAGACAATATTCAAAACATCAAGCGCGACAATGGGGTGATTAACAGTAAATCATAGGAGATCACAAGATCACACTCCCAATTCTGTATCAATAATGTTCCAAAGCTCAAGTTTATTTTGCCTTAATTTCAGAAATGTTCTCATTATGCAAAAATTTAAAGACAAAGTCTTAGAAAAAGAAAAGAGTACTTTCAGGTCAACATACATTATTGCAATTGGCACTACTATAGGAAGTGTTTAAGAGTAAACTATACTTCCTGATATATTAATCATTTTTTATCAGGCCCAGTATCAATATAATTATTCACCACAATATCACTTATATTGCTTTCATGTGTGAAACCCAATCAGTAAAAATACAGTATCAGTATTTTGATTTATGAAAACATCTGATAGATCTACCTAGTGAAATACACATCTAAGATTGTTTCAATCAATATAGTTATAGTTATATTTTTTTTATATATATATTGTTATTTGTTTTTCAAACACCGGGACCCACTTGTATAAAACATCTCAACTCTTGAGATTTCCTCAAGTCTATGATTTCCCATAGACAATACATTGCTTGAGATTTTCCTTAACTTTGATATGTGTTTTACAAGTGGGCCCGGTTATCACAGACAGAGAGCATACCCTCGTGAAGAGCTCCCCATCCAGTTGCTGTACAAACGTTGTTGTCGAAGTTTTCATTGGGGTCGGGAAGACAAGCCGTTTTGACGTAGGTAGTGGTAGTGTCCACAGGTTTGTCCAGTTTGATCAAGGCGATGTCGTTATGGTTACGGCTATGGTCGTAGTGCTCGTGCGTTAAAACAAGTATGGCGTTGTGGACCTGGCTGCTGTATATGTGACTACGATCCTGAACACCAACAGCTACGGTCCAGTAATGTTTCGAAGTGCTAGAGAGATAAACACGGTTGAATAAATGGTAAAATATCGTTACGGTTACTACTGACTATCAGCTAGGTAGAGAAAGAGAGAGAGAGAGAGAGAGAGAGAGAGAGAGAGAGAGAGAGAGAGAGAGAGAGATGGTTGAATAATTTGAAAAAGAAATATCGTTATATTTCTACAGACATTCAATGTACCGGAGAGAGAAAACCATTGAGGAAAGTTAAATATGTGGTTAGAGTGATACATACATTCAGCCTGCTGGAGAAAGAAACACGGCTGAATAATTTGACAAATATTATTGTGGTCATATTGACATTCAGTATGCTTGAGAGTAAAATAAGGTTGAATGATTTGACAAATACCATTGGTCCTTCAGACATTCTGTATGCTAGAGAATGAGATAGGGTTGATTGATTTGGCAAATACCATTGGTCCTTCAGACATTCTGTATGCTAGAGAATGAGATAGGGTTGATTGATTTGGCAAATACCATTGGTCCTTCAGACATTCTGTATGCTAGAGAATGAGATACGGTTGAATGATTTGACAAATACCATTGGTCCTTCAGACATTCTGTTTGCTGGAGAGTGAGATAGGGTTGATTGATTTGACAAATACCATTGGTCCTTCAGACATTCTGTATGCTAGAGAATGAGATAGGGTTGAATGATTTGACAAATACCATTGGTTTTTCAGACATTCTGTATGCTAGAGAGTGAGATAGGGTTGAATGATTTGACAAATACCATTGGTCCTTCAGACATTCTGTATGCTAGAGAGTGAGATACGGTTGAATGATTTGACAAATACCATTGGTCCTTCAGACATTCAATATGCTAGAGAGTGATGCCTAGCAGCGAGCCTTAAATTTGCCGAGACACAGATAGCGAACGTGATCTTGACCCCTGAGTATCACGGATTTCTCGTCAAAGGTAATACTATGCCAAAAAACGCAAAAGTGTTTCGGTGTAGCTGTTTAGGTACGAAGGAACACAATACATTTACTCCAGGTGTAAAGTGTTCCTAGATGTGTTGCAATATACAACGATATGGTATATGTACTTTTAAAAAGCCCTTAATAACATTGCATTTGTCAGTATAATGTGACCGGGCGGAATGCCGTGCTGGGTGCCTTCGGCATGGTATTTGAATGAGATAGCACTATCAAATCGGCATCAGATCAACGCTACCACAGGGAGGCAAGCACACCAACATACCCTGTCTCCAGCACACATACACGGTTTCACAACGGACATTGATAGCCTCAGCTGTTGATTCCGTCTTTGCGTATTGCAGAGTTATCTTCTCTTGGGAACAGGGATTGATTGTTACGTCATTGGTCGGTGTGAGAAAATTACGTCGTTTTCTCAAAAATTGATGACGTTTCTCTCACAAACAAGTGACGTAACAATCAATACCTGCTCCCAAGAGAAGATAATTCTGCAATACGCAAAGACAAAATAGGCCTTTAAACAATTGACCAAACTTACTCCTGGAAGCAGTGAGCCGCGGTGACGACCCACTGGCTATCTATAAGGGTACCACCACACATATGCTGTCCTCCGTATCTGAGGGAAACCTGCCACGGGTATTCTCCGTGTGTTGCTACTGTGCCTCCTACAATCTTGTGATTGCCTGATACGGCAGGGACACCGCACTGACCTGGGGAATCAGTAATTCATTATGAAGTAAAAAGGTGGATGTTAGGAAAAACAGTAATTAAATGGTTTACCTGCGTGTTTTTATTTTATTTATTCATGTGTATAGAACTCAAAGAATATTTTTTGCAGTATATAATTACTTATAATTTAACCTGCGCCTATCTTAGAAAAGTCAACACAGTTAAAAAAAAACTCAATTATAAGATATACCAAAACAAAGTTGTTGAAAATCCAAAACAATTCCACTAAAAAAACCGGATATGATATTTTCCCGTCAAGATATTTTGTATATATATCTCAATGATTTACAATCATTGTAGCATATTGTTTTTAAAGTTAATTTTAAATATTTTGACTGATAGTTCACAAAGAATTCCTGCACTATTTGCAAACAGTTCCACTAAAAATAACAGATTTTACATTTTCCCGTCAATATTTTTTTTTATATTGTTTCAATGATTCACAATTTGCAGGTGTACACTAATGTTTTGGCGATGTATTATTACAGTCATAAAACCAATAGCTGTCAATTCCGTCTTTGCGTATTGCAGAGTTATCTTCTCTTTGGAGCAGGTATTGATTGTTACGTCATTGGTTTGTGGGAGAAAATTACGTCGTTTTCTCAAAAATTGATGACTTTATTCTCACAAACGAATGACGAAACAATCAATACCTGCTCACAAGAGAAGATAACTCTGCAATACGCAAAGACGGAATTGTGATATATGTGGAGCTTACCGCTACTCGTGGTGTGCGAACCGGTCCCATGGGACGGCGCATGCGTGGGAGCGGCCGTAGCGACGGTGTGGTGAGCCCCATAACAGCATGCCTCTAGAAACCCACAGTAACTAAGGACGAGATGGTTGCCTGCTCCACAGTGGGTTGTCCCGCTCAACAAGTTGATGCAGGAACCATGCAGGGTATTTTGGCATACTGTAGAAAAGAAAAATATATTCATCAAATAGAAATAAGCAAACAATAAAACATTGCACGTTAAAACAGGGGCAGAATGGTTTGCGTTGATACATGTGAACACATGACTTACACACACGAATGCCTTTCAAATTTGGTAATAAGAGCAAAATTTATCAAAATTCAGCAATCAGCTGTTTCTTCCTTCTGCGACTCATATGTAATAAGAATTGCAAATGATTGTGATTAGCATTTGCAATACTAATGACTAAGTCTACCGTACTGCTTGGGAACTTTGACAATGGATTGTAATCAATTTGAGCGTTTGTTTGTTTTCTCTGTAGCCATAAGGTAAAACAGCACACAATGAATATTACAATACTTGTTGACTGGCCTCAAAATGTAATCTTCTTGACACTTCAATAATAAGTTATCTTACATAACATGTCTAACATAACATGTCCTTTTTTCAGCAGTCAGTATTCTATCCACTGATTGTTAATTCCGTATAAAGTATAATAGGTGCGTTGCAAGACTGGGATTCGAATCCGGGACCCCCAAGCTCTAGACAGACGCTCCATCTAGTCGACGAGGATCGAATAAGTTTCGTCATATAAGGACTGCTTTTTTAAACGTCATATTAACAGCTAAGGGCAGCCAAGGAGATGCATCCAGGTGTGTTGTGTAAGCGGACATGTGTGTATGTGTGCCGGAGACAGTGCATGTTGGTGTATTTGGCTACTTGTGAAAGCGCGGGATGTGCCTCAATGTGCGTGTGTATGCGCTCATGTGTGTATGCTGGAGGCAGGGTATGTTTGTGAATTTGCCTCATTGCTATTGATCAGATCTGTAGAAATTTGCATTTCTCTTTTGATTTGAAACATACAATGTAGTTCGATCAAACAAAACAGAGTGACAATCTGTTTTTACTGCTGATAAAGTATACTTTTTGATTGTGATTTATCGTCCTCGCAACAGCCAGCGTCATATGAGGACGGTGCCTAGGGAGACAACAGCCAGAGTCATATGAGGGCAGGTGTCTAGGGAGACAACAGCCAGCGTCATATGAGGACGGTGCCGAGGGAGACAACAGCCAGAGTCATATGAGGGCAGTTGTCTAGGGAGACAACAGTCAGGGTCGTATGCGGACGGGTGCCAAGGGAGACAACAGCCAGAGTCATATGAGGACGGATGTCTAGGGAGACAACAGCCAGAGTCATATAAGGACGGGTGCCTAGGGAGACAACAGCCAGGATCATATAAGGACGGGTGTCTAGGGAGACAACAGCCAGAGTCATATAAGGACGGAGGTCTAGTGAGACAACAGCCAGAGTCATATGAGGACGGAGGTCTAGGGAGACAACAGCCAGAGTCATATGAGGACGGGTGCCTAGAGAAACAATAGCCATGGTCGTATGAGGACGGGTGCCTAGTGAGACAACAGCCAGAGTCATATGAGGACGGGTGCCTAGTGAGACAACAGCCAGAGTCATATGAGGACGGGTGTCTAGGGAGACAACAGCCAGGGTCGTCTGCGGACGGGTGCCAAGGGAGACAATAGCCAGAGTCATATGAGGACGGATGTCTAGGGAGACAACAGCCAGGATCATATAAGGACGGGTGTCTAGGGAGACAACAGCCAGAGTCATATAAGGACGGAGGTCTAGTGAGACAACAGCCAGAGTCATATGAGGACGGAGGTCTAGGGAGACAACAGCCAGAGTCATATGAGGACGGGTGCCTAGGGAAACAATAGCCATGGTCGTATGAGAACGGGTGCCTAGGGAGACAACAGCCAGAGTCATATGAGGACGGGTGCCTAGTGAGACAACAGCCAGAGTCATATGAGGACGGTTGTCTAGGGAGACTTGGGCGAGAAAGGAAAGGGTAAAGAAAGAGGAAAGAAAACATAGGAAACGAAAAAGTGTTGCAATTTGGGCAGCAGATAGATTTTTGTCGCGTCCACGTTATTTAGGAAGAAGGCACAGAAGATAACCCCCGATTCTGCAAAGAGTCCCACTTTAGTCGCCATGTATGATACGCATGCAGTGGGATACAGCATATTTAGTATTGGCAATGTTCCCTACATAGAAGACAATGAAGAAATCATTCCCGATTCTGCAGGGAAGGGAGATAAAGCGTATACAACGAAACTAGTTATCGTGAGAAAAGCACAAACCAAATTTATGAAAACACAAATCAGGGATAAGTGAGGATATTTTTTCTATTGTGACGTTATCCGTAATCTTTATACATTTAACCATATTCAACCAGCTAACCGGCTTAATTGGAGGCAGGGTATTCTAGTGGTAGGACGCCGTGGTCATGACCGAAGGGTTGCGGGTTTTAGTCACGTCACGGCACTTCGAACAAGATATTTTACTCTGCGCTTGTTCCAGTCTACTCAGCTGTAAATGAGTACGTCGTTCGGCAGTGCTGCAATTGCTAAATGTTAACTGTGAGCGCCGAAAAAGCAAAAACGGCCGTATGCTCCACAGGGAGTTGCGAAAGATATTGGTCGGTTGCAAAGGTCTCAAACTACGGATATTAATTATTCATTTTTGAACTACTTTCAGACGACCTACGAACTAGGTTGTGATAAAGCAGTATATGATCACCTCGAATTAATATTATTATTATTTTTATAGATAATTACTGTGACATTATTTCATATCATGAGGAGGTTTCTAGACTTTGGTTACATAATAATATAAACACACAGGGTGTATGTAGCTGAAGTTACAATATCTGTATTTAATGCTTACCTGTTTGAGAAAAGACCGGACTGGCTGCAATAGCCAAAAGCAGAGACACACAGAACAAATCCATGTCGGTGTACGGTCTTGATGAAAGTGAACTTTGCAAAGTTAGAAATGGACTTACTGGATTCTTATCTTTGAGGTCAAATCGTGATCTGGTAGTCGCTCCCTATCGCAGGTTCAGTGCACGGGACCGTAGTTGTCAGTCTGTGATCGGCCATCTTGTCAGAAGTACTTGAACTTTAATTTTTAATTTTTACATCATGACTTTAAAAAATGTAATTAAAGGTTTTGGGATATCTTTTTGACAGACAACGCGTTTTACTCTTTTTGATATCTGATGGATATTAATCATAAACTTACTATTGTTTCGCAAGACCCTGATACGATGTAATTCCTTACTTTCCAAAATGCTGATCAGAGTGATACAAATGATCGCAGAATTACTTATATCTGTATAATTAGAATTTAATTGTCATTTCCGTTGTCGGATCTATAATTAAGCAGATGTAAACAGTTTCCCAATTATCGACTATAAATGTAAAGAAGTGGTGATGACAAAGTTATAAGTGACGAACTACTTTCAAGCTGTATTCACAGTGAATACAATACTTATTATAGCATTGCAGAAAAGTGTATTTTGAAAACAATTTGAACAAAATGTATTGATTAATTTCAGCAACGGTATATATATTACACTTAAACAAATCAGTTTGTTTAAATTTTGGTATTGGCAACGTTTGCTAAGCACTTTGTGATGACACGAATTGGTAATTATAAAACTAAAATGTCATATAGATATTTTTAGTGCATTTGTTTTTTTCTGAGTTAACGAGGGTATACAAAGTATTTTATTCCTTCAATTTTTATACGCAGTTTAAACGTCTTAATCTTTTATTGACCAATCCGGTCACCAGTTACACAATTTAAGATTAAGGACTCCTGTCCCACTTCAATGCGTTTTTCGTATATACAGTAATCTACAGTAAGCTCCCCTTAGTTTCATTTTTGATATAACTGTAGCACATTTTGGCCGGGGCACTTCCGTTGACCAGACAGCTCAGTCTAGTCGATCGATAGTATAACAATCATGAGTCCTGGGTTCGAATACCGGTCTATCCTCGCCTAAAGTTTACACAGACCACTGTAATTCATTATATATTTTTTTCAGTTCATCTTCATTAGTTTTTTCAATAAAAAGGCCTGCAAGGTTTAATTTTCTTTTTTAGAAATGATTTAGCAAAGTTATAAACAAGCCAGAAAACAGGGTTAATGCCGTAGTATACAGTTATAGAATGGGTATGAGGGAAATAGCAATGTTATGATCCCCCGAGGTGAAAACTATATTGGTAATTTCCTAATTTAAGGAGAGATAAGCATACAGATGCAGAGATTTTAATTGATTTTAGGGAAATAGGAGATTTTATGGTATTGAGGTATAATAATTACAATTGTTATCAGTGGTAGGGGTGTATTTCAGGTCTAAATATTGTGTCGCAAAAGTTTAATTAACACTTAAATGTTAAAAAAAATCACCTTCATGTTTCAAAGTAAATATCGCACATTTCCGATGTATCACAACAGGGGGATTTGAACCTACGAACTTTCAGCAGTATACAGCTTTACGTGTATAAAGTGTTTGCTGTCGAGAAGTTGTGAAATGTTATAGATAATTTAACAATGCGTACATTGACAACGTTCATGCATTGTCTTATCTAGATATACTTTATATAATGTTACATGGCACTAGGTCACTGTAACGTACATATATAGAAATAGAAATGACAAGATATGGATATAAAGCAAAATTTAATCAAACATTACGATTCTGTAGATTATAATACGAATCATCAGGATCTGTCTTCAAATGACCTGTTCGGGACAGTTCTAACATGCAGACTGATAGAAGCTTAGTTGAAACATGTATTTTACCTTGAGGTTAAAGGCAAACCTTATGACCAATTCCGTAATACACATATATAATCGTTGGTAAATGTTAAGTGTGCATGACTATAAATTAGTGAAAATATTATCAAAATTCAAAATTGTGTTAAAAAAATGTCATTCATTGCACATGTATCTGCATACTTTTGACCTTAAATTTAAACTATTTGTGTCATGCATGTGCTCGTCCCTTTACAGTAAAACACTTTATGATTGAATTGCGCTGATTTCAAACAAATATGTCACAGATTTGATAATGTACCGTCAATGAAAAATGAGTTGGTTTGATTTTTGATTTTTTTGTGAATGATTTTTGTTTACAGTGTTATTTGGCCCTAAATGACTCACATTGTCTATGGGCCGTTAAACAATACAAAAACAAAACAAAGCAAACATATTCTTAAATGCATGTACTTTATCAGTTTTTTTGAAAGAGCATAACTTTTCCACCGATTTTGAATGATTGAAAGATTCAAACTAACCAGTCCTTTTTCTAAATACGATTTCAAATAAAACCATATTGAATTTAAACTTTCGTTAATGTAATAACAACTTACGTGTAAGATAAAGTGTATCAATATAGAGCCTTTGCTCATAAGTACAGTTAAGGTCAAATCTTACGATTTGGGTAACATCGTGCAGTGACTGACAGGGGGACTGTTGAATTGTAGATAGTGGTATAGGGATATCCATCTAGTGGCGACCAGGTCAGTCATGGCTGACATAGAGACAGGAACGAGATTTTGAACTCCCCAAAACAGACAGGGGTAACTGACATTGCCATATGGTACATCTAGTAAAAATATTTTGGTAGGGGAAAGTTAGTCTAGATGTTAGATGATAAGTTATATTTAATTGCTACACGTGCCTCATTACTTATGTACAATAAGTTGTACCTACCCATGAATAGTTAATATGATATAGATTGTTTAAACCACTTGGGGAAGATTAGATAAGTAGTCTAGAGCTAGGGGGTGGGGTGGGGGT